TGCTTACTTCAGACGTGAATAATTAATTCTCATTTTGAACTATTTCCCCTCAAGAACCTTTATTACACTTGTTATGTGCCTATTGTGTTCTCATTATTTGAACATAAAACAACACCTCTGCAGCTTCAATATAATGTTCCACTAATCGCCCGACCATGCCGATTCTCTAGCCCTAGAAAAGGCCTTGGTCGGACTGTCCTTGATTACCTTTCTTAAACCATGATTACAGTGATGAAAACCAATCTATAATTCCTTGTGTCATTATCATGTAGCAGGTCAATTACAGAACGTCACTCCCATCACAGCCTGCCTGGAAAAAAAAATCGGTTCCTTGCCAGATCTACCGCCCCATGCCTTATGGAGTTGACCAAAGTGTCTCTTACACTATGTGCCTATCTTCGTGCTGGTCTACCCCTCTTGTCCAAATCATACCAAGCACTAGTGTTTTCCCAATCCACCGTGATATTTCATATGACCAAAATATTTCAGTTTCCGAAACAAGATATTGTTTATGAGCCAATCTTCCTTGATGTTCAGATTCCCCATTTTAAATACTTAAAAAAAGTGCGTACCCTTTACTTTAAAGACTCTTTAGAAACAATGCCAGTATTTTTTAGCTGTTTATTTTTACTAGACAATTTTATATTCAGTTGTTTTCATTGTTATTAAACGGTCGGCTCTAACGTCCCTTGTAAAAAAAAAAAAAAAAAATTTCTTAGGATATCAATGTTTTTTTTTTTTTTTTCCACGGTATTCTGATAATCTTTTTATAGCATTTCAGCTCAAAAGCCCACATAAGGTTTCTTAATAATTATAAGATAGTCCTTCCGTCATCTAAGCTAATTTATAATTGTTGATATATAACACAGTGTGCCTTATTGTTAAATATGCTCTACAGAAGTTGCTGTGATATATGCCATACATGTTGAATATGATGTTATATATATCTTGAGGTTAATGTTATGTGTTAAATAGCCTACGCCTTATGTTATATATTTGAAGCATTCATTATATATATATATATATATAAGAATTGAAAGTAAGCAAATTTTAAAGTTTCTCTAAATACATGACCAATATATGAGCCTGTTTGGCCGAGTCAATTTTTAAACAGGCATTATACGGGAAATGTTAAAAGAAATTTGAACAAATTCTTGAATTGTGTGCATCAGCAAAGTTTACAAATGATATATTACTGTGTTAATGGTATATGGCAGCTATATAGCTTTGTGAGATAACACAGCCATATGTTTTAGTTATGTTTCTATATTTTCACTACTTTGATGATTTTGGGTTCATATTTTACCCAAATATATGTTGGTTCTCCTGTATTCATTTGTATCAGTTTCAATATCTGCTTATGTAGAGGGGAAAAAAAAAATGTGTAAGAATGTATTTCCTGTTGTTATATGATTTCTTTCATTTTTACCAAATGACATGTAAATCAATACCAAATATTACATGATACAAGAAAGTTATTTAACCCCTCAATTCATAAATTATCCAACTTCCTATTTAAACTTTTGCAACCAACTGGGATAACAGGTTCGAATTTGGTGTGTACAAATTTAAATTTTAGCTGTTCAGTGTGTCCTCAGGTATCTAGTATTGTCTTATTTTCTCACATGCATGCACCCGAAGCACAAACCATGTGATATAGTACATATATGATACTAAGGACAAGGCGTACAAGCAGTATATTGGAATAGGTATCCTCTCATGTCATTCGGAGCTAGGGACATTTATCTGCCCTTTCGCGCCGCATCTTCCCGTCATTCAGCCGGAAGAAGATGGTTTACTTATCGAGCTCATTGGGAGACGCTTACTTTACCACCGTATGACAGTTGTAAACTTTGCCGTGTTTTTGTGTTTGTTTTAATATTTTAATATACACCTAACGCATAACTCAATAAGCTGTGTGTAAATTAATGTGCTTATAATGTCTTTGGTAAAGGACAGGTAATTGTTTGCTGTACGACTTTAAACAAAATCAAAGTGTACACAACTGTCACAACAGCCTGGCCTGTGGAGGTAGTATTTTCACTATTTGTAGTACTTCAAAAGCTACTTTGAAGCTGACAACATAAATAACATGTTTGTCATGATTAACGGAGAAAAAAAAATATTTTTCCTAGTTATATATTTAGTTTAGTGGATACATCTGCCATAAATATTCTGATGCCTGGAAAGTCACAAGAAGTGGGTTTCATGCATGACCAGGCTGGAATATATCCAATATTTGGCAGTGCAGTGTGTTTCACAGTGTAGTGTGTATGTCATGAACTCTGAACCATCATTTTGAATTACCTAATACTTATTACTACTTCACTACAGTACCTTGTATTAACACTCACACTGTTAACTAGAAGTAATTGGTTTTTTTCCCTACTACCATTGCTGTATGTAAACGGCATTGATTGACTGATTTGTTATGTTATGAGTGGATGACTATGATTCAAATAAAAACCTTTTTATGATAAAATAGACATTTAAATTACAGTAACCATTCCATGTATTGTCGTCAAGGTGTTAAGCACGAGGCATCACACAGTGTGCAGATGAAAATAGTAATGTCGCAATGTAGCTCAAAAAGGATGTTTCAGAGCAGCTGCAGTCAACTCTGAGGGGTCACTACTCAGTGTGTCTTGAGTCCAAGTGATTAACAGTCTGTCACATAAGTCCTGCTGTTTTGTAACCTCCTACTCTATTCACACACTTGCTGGACCGACAGACATGCTCCACGATATTGGACCTTCATTCGGTGATGAATTTCTTTTGATTTCACCCCTTCACTTACTTAAAAAAAATATAAAAAAAGATAAAATGCTGCTACCCTTTCGGTACATGTCAAAATGGGGGGAGGGGGTTGTCGTCTTTAAACTATTTTAATGATGTCTTTGTGTTCATCGGCGCTATGGTATCACATGCTTAACATTCTTGACATCCTTTCCAATTTTGACAGGTTACCATTACAAGATACTGGCATGGTTATTGTAATATTTACCACACTGTTAACTCTTCCTAGCCCAGACAACACACTGTGTGTGACCGAGTATTATTTACATGTACCAGTCAACATGTTACAAATGATTTTAAACATAGTTTGTGTTCTCCTCAAATAAGTTGTCTACATCTGCAGTTTTGTCTCTCGTATAAATTTCACTGTCGTATTTAGTTCATTCAGTGGTCCATAGAGCTTACATTCCACTGTTGTTCTTTCTGGCCAAAAGGTTTGCCCTAATTCATCAATTTTGGTGCAGTCTGGAGCACATGTTCTGCTGTCTGGGGTACCTTTCCACAGGTGCACATGGCTGATATGCCTATCAGGAATGTTGTGTAGCGGTGATTATGTAATTGGTTGTGCCCGGTTCTGAGGCGAAGGATAATGACTTGTTCTGATCTGCCCATAAAAACATACTCATCTTTTGCTGGGTCTAGTGGATTTGTATATATATATATATATATATGTATATATATATATATATATATATATATATATATATATATATATATATATATATATATATATATATATATATATATATATATAGTGTTATATTGCTCTAAGATAAGGCATTGGACTCACAGCCCATTGTGATGGCAAGTGTGACTTGCAAGACCCACCTGCGTTAAGAAAAGTCTTTCACTATTATAGCATGGGATTTCAGGACTGTTGTCAACATTTGTGTTTAGTCTGTTTCTTATCAGATGCTTATCTCTCATCCTTTCTCCAGTCATTCCTTCCTTCATTCTCATTTCCTTCCTGATGTGCCCCCTCCACACAGCACAGTCCATGGCATTTTGTTCCCACGAGTCCACTTTAATACCTGTATTTTTCATGTCCCGCTTGCACACTTTGTATTGTAGCAGAGGTCAGCTTTGACATCATCTACCTGTCCTTAATTTACTATAGAGGATGTCTTCAGGAACTCTGCCATCCTCCATTCTCTAGGTGTAAACCCAGCCACCTGAGGCTTCGTAGACTCAGCATTAAGAAGACTGTTGTAATGCTTGTTCTTTCCAGTACCTCAGTGTTTATGATCTTGTTCTACCACCTAATACCAAGTATTACTTTTAGGCATCGCATGGGAAAGCTGTTTAGCCGTTTTTCCTGGTGCGAAAAAGTTTACCAAGTTTCACCGCCATCGCCATAGAGCAGAGTGCTGAGAACACAGCCCTGATCGACAATAGTTTTCTGTTCTTCCAAACTCTTTTTGTCAATCTGCTCATTGTTGTTGCTGCCTTAACTATCCTGATGTTGATTTCTTGGTCCAGTGATAGTTTGTTATTCACTGTGGATCCCAGATAGGTAAAATAGTCTCCAGCTCTTCACTGCCAATGTAGGCTGCAGGTATATCATTAACACATTTTTGTTGATTGTGAGTCCAAATTCACAGCATGCATCAGCAGATGTAGACAGTAAATATTGCAGCTTCTTCTCTGAGTGGGTGGTAATTGCTGCATCATCTGCAAGCGTCTGGAGTCAAGAAAATGATGTCCTTTAAAAGAGATGGGTTCTTTCCTCTTGGAATCATAATTGATTAAAGAATTAGTTTATATTGATTTACACCCAGTATGATTAGTTCAGATTTAAAAACCACTTTGATTTATTGCAATATATTTAGCTGTCAGCATCTTCTGCATTTACCCTTTAAGGGACAGTTAGCACATATTTTAGTTAACAGCCTGGTTGCGATATCTTTGCCTATCAGCCCAAGCACATTTGATTTTATGAAACCCTTCGTTGCCATTTTATAACCAGCTTGTAACTGATAGTGGGATTTTCCCCACCCCTCTGTGTGTTAAAATAGTTGGTTGTGTGCAGTGTCTGTCTTATAATGTTGAAAGTTCAGATACTTCAAAAGAGATTCTAACGATTCAGTTTATTATCATATTCATTGAAAAAAAAATTATTTTATATTTTAAAATTGAAGGGTCATGTGTAACTGTACTTGCAGATTATGGCAGGGCATTTGAATGAAGAGCACTACTAAATCAGTATGGAGCCAAATCAGGGTTTTTCAATTAACAGCCATGGCTCGCCACCTGCAGCAGGTTGCCATCGCCTACCACAAATCCCATCCATGGGCCGTAATGTCCGCACTGCTCAAAGCAAGACCAGCGCCAAGCTAAATTTTGAAGCCAAACCCAGGGACGAAACAGCCATTTTGCACGTTGAAGGCACGTCAAGAGTAGTACAGATATTAACAGATGGAATATCAGAGTTGACCGAAATTAAAGACAGGACACCAAATGTCACTCCATCCTCTTTTAGTGTTGAGCAAAATTTCTCTCTCAGTAATGATGCAGACAAAATGGAAAATAGCAGTTCTTCTGTTACACCAAGAAGAAAACGACAGAGGAATGGCAGTGGTAATAGTAATAAGCTAAAAAAGGGAACTGCTGCAGTTAATGTGCCCTCTGCCAGTAATGACACAAGCAGCAGTTTATCTTCAGACCCAACTGAAGCAGCACTTCAGCCAAGTGACAAAACAAATACTACTGACCAGAGCCATTCTAAATCAGCTAATTGTGACACACTGCATTTGGAAACAAGTGAGAAAGGTGCACCAGGCAATGCAGCACTAGATGTTTGTGACAGTGTCCTTGAATCCCCACTTGTAGATACACCTGAAAAGAAGGAAAGTCCATTAGAGAAGAAAAAACGGACATCAAAACTGGGCATTGAGAACCCTAACAAAAGTTCAGGGAGTGCTGAAAGTATACCAGTGACAAAAGAATCTGATTGTGTCCCTATACTGACACCTAAGAGCGTGGATGCTATGACACCGGCAGCTGTGAAAGCGGAGGAGGAGATGGATGTGGACAGTACAACGTCTAAAGGCCATGTTCCAAGATGTGTAATAATACTACCGACTGAAGTGCCATCAGAGTCCCAGCTGGAGAAACTGCTAGCCATGCAGTCAACCAACTATGACTTGCAGTACCCACCTCCATGGAGTGAAGGTGATTTACTTTGGGCTAAAGTTAGTGGTCATCCTTACTGGCCTTGCATGATATCAAGATGTCCATTTTCCAAGATGTTTACCAGAATTAAAGGTGAGTTGTGGTAAATAAACCCAGATTTATTCAGTCCTGTTAATTTCTGTTTGTAAAATATTCTATTATTAAATGTGTAGTCTTGTTTTTCACACACACACATTATTTTTATGTTAAGTTGCACACATTTTTACATCAGTAGTTTGCCATTGCTTTCTTAACGGTCAGTGCTCGGTCCCACTGTCAAAACCAATGCAAGACCAATCGCCCGCAGCTGGGATTGAACCCGGCATTACAAAGCTCCTTCTCAAAGCCTAAGCCATGGACACCGGCTTATTGTTATGTAGATCAGAAAATATAACCATGAATAAATTTGCTAAGAAGGGGAGAATGTAAAGAGGAAGTCGGTGCATTAACATTTTTGAGGGGGGGGGGGAAGCCATGCAGTGTCGGAATAGAACAGTAAGACCGGTGGTGACTTCCACTTACTTGGATCGGCATGGACAGTTCATTGTGTGCCTCTTGGCAGGGCATAATAAACTTATCAAGCATATACACAAGCTTCCTCTTAAGTAGTTCACCGCCATCCCCATGTGGGCTGTGCATACAAACCACAGGACATGTCCTGCAAGATTGTCCCTTGAACTGCCTATTAAGAAGGAATACCAGCTCATTGACTCAACACCATACTTACAGTTTGTATGGAACTGAAGAGGAATTTAAATAATAGTTAATTTTATCACGAGAACTTGTGAATGGATGTAAATCATCTCCGTGTAGGTTTCGGGGCCCTATTGTGGGGAAAACAAGAATCGACTCACTGCCTACCCAAAAGCATGTCGTAAGAGTCGACTATTTGGGGAGCTTCCTTTGAAGTCGGAGTGCATCTGCCTGAGAGGCAATGAACCAGCAGTCTGCATTCAGATGAATCAGATCCGTAAAATTGATACACACGCAACACTCAGGGTCTGTAGCAGGACTGCAGTCCAGAAGTGGACGAACAATCAGAACTTTCTGCCAGAGTGTAAAGCTGGTGAACGCGTGAAAGAAGAAGAATGTAAATCAGGGAAGCGATTACTAGAAGAGAAGTCGAGCAGATGCTGGTGGGATTGACATCATTGCACATGGGACATTCACACGTAAACTCTTGTCTCCTCCTGTAGCCAACAGTCTCCTTGCTAATGGTGCTGGTAGCAGCCTGATAAAAAGTCTGCTTATCTTCTCCCCTAACTCTTTAAGAAGCATCCCTATTCTCTTTATGCTCATTGCTAATGTAAAATTAACAAAGTCCAAATAGTTGCAGAGATTTAGATGATTCCAATTTTCCAAATTCCATTATAACTACTTTTACAGTTCAGTTTTGAGAAAGTAAAAGAAGGGATACATAGGTACACCATGTTGTTTATTCACGAACACATACAGACTGGTTTATTGATCACAATAGAAAAGTAATTGAAGAACCCTTTTCCACGCCTTTAGGGCACATAGGGCTAGACCTATATTTTATAGAACAATCAGCACTTGGTGGATGATATGGTCGGCATCATTCCAGTCATCAAATTAGATCATTGCATATTGTTTATTTTTGTAGCTGATTATTTTGTTTTTAAAATAAATTGCTAAATTAACAATCAAAATTCAGCCTACTTTTTATTTTATTCTTGTTAAGGTTCTGAACTTACAAGTTATACAATTTATATTTTTTTTTTTCAGGTGACGTGCGAGTTGTACGTTCATATCATGTTCAATTCTTTGGCAATGAAGGGGAGAGGGGTTGGATCAATGAGCCATCTTTAATGTTATTTGAAGGAAAGCTGAAATTTCTGGACATGGCTCAGACAGAGGTCTCAAAGGGCAAAAGAGGGAAAAGTGCATATAATCCTTTCAAGATCAATATATCAAGACGTCACGCTTGGAATATAGCCGTTGATGAAGCAGAAGCAGCCATGCCATTATCAAAAGAGGAAAGAAATGTGCAATATACATTTGAATATGTGTTTTTGGACGACCTGAAAAAAGAACAACAGAAATTGAAACTTGAGTCTCAGAAAACTGAAGGTGTGCAGGCTGGTGAAGTGGCAGCAGGATCCAGATCAAAAACAAACTCAAAGCGTAAAAGGGCGCCTTCTGAGGAACGCAGTTTGTCTCCAGTGTCAAGCAAGCAGAAGCGACGTAAATTAGATGTTGTGGCTTCATCACCGGTAGTCCCAGTAGGAGCAGAAACTTCCTTTGATACATATTATGCAAATCATAGAAGCTCTGTGATTGAAACGCACCCAGAGTGGGATACCCCGCTTGTGTTTGAGTATGTGCGCCAACAGTGGGAGTCAGAAAAAAAGAAAACCTCGAAAAATAGAAGCAAGAGTCCTCATACTGCATCACAAAACACCAGTATAAACAAATCTTCACCAAGTGTGTTGCCAACCCAGCTAAAAGGTATGTATATATTTATGTGTTTACCTAGGCTGATTTTTTAAAAAAATGTGTACGAGATAATATCCTGTAATGTAAAGACAGCTGGAATGATATGGATCACATCACCTATCTAGTACCGATTGGTCTATACAAATATATAGCTAGCTGGGCCAGTGAGTGGTGTGAATTGGGTCTTTCATACCAATCGTTTGTTTTAGATTTCGTTTGCAGTTCTAAAATATAAAGAGGTCTTTTAAGTGATTTTTATCTTATTTTATTATTGATCGTTGTACCTTTGTCATGTTGCAAAGTGTTCAAGTTCTTTTCTTGTTTTTCTTCCGAGTGGAAAGGATCAGTAAACCCTTTCCATATTTAAACCAGTGGGGTATTGCCAGAGAGAGAAAGGGGGACAACAAAGAGGGTATGCTGAATGGGCTTGTAGAGTGGATAGAAACTTGTCAGCTATTTGCTTTCTAAGAATAAAGGAAATAGTGAGAGGAGACAATACTACATATATAGATAATTTGTTTCAAGCAAATGAAAGAAGAGGGGATTTGGATGAGAGGATATGGTATCCACTTCAAGGTCAGAAGTTACTAGATTCAAATCCCAGCTGTGAATTTTTACCAGAACTTCCGGTTAGTGATCTTTTTACTTTTGATCTTACGGGTAGTAAAACACATATAGTGTTTTCTTGGAGAGTAGTGAAAAAGTTTAATCCATCTGTATGAGTGGTAAAAATTTAACAGCGGGTGGAAATTGCAAAGATAAGGCCATGTGGCTGCTGCCTTGATGGAATTGTTGAAAAGAAATCTTCTCTGTGGGTAATAAAGTCTGTTAGTTACAAAAAAGAATTGCTGTACAGTAGGCCTAACATGAAAACATAAAGTCTTGCACACTGGCCTTTCAGGTGCATAATGGTGTGATGCACTGCTCTTGAATGAAGTTAGTAGTTAGAGGGCATGTTTTTCCGTCTACCAAGCAGGTATAATGCATACCTGTAAGAGCTGTGATTGTGAAAGATACCTTCTAATCCATTTTATGTTGCATTGCCCCACTGGGTTTTGGGACCCCCATTTTGAAAAGAATATAGACCTGCTGTCCTCCTAACAGGATATCTTAACAGTTTACTAATTAGGAGTTTTTCCTTTGAAGTTGAAGTGCATCTGCCTGAGAAGTGATGGACCAACATCCTGCATACAAGTGAGCCTGATCTGCAAAACTGAAAACTCAAGTTCTGGAACAACCAAATTCCAAAGATGGACTAACAACCATAATTTTGACAGCATTTTTACATCTGGTTGAAAGTTGAGAAAAGATAAAATTTAATTGGTCATCATGTTTGTCCAAAACCTGCTGCTGTCATACTGCCAAAAATTACTCTTAGTTTCTCTCTGCCACAGTATCAGTGTAGCAGCGTTTTCTAGATCTTCTGTCTCGCTACTTTGATTTTCTATTTTGCTCCTGATAAAACATTTCTATTGCTAGATTGCAAAAGATTTCACGTCTCTTCATAGATTTCAGACCATGTGTTCAGGATTAGTTCTGTTGATGATATTCTTTTATGTCAACAAATAATCCAGTGTAATGTAATCACTATCAGTTTTTATGTGTGTCGTTCCCTACTAATCTTTCTGCTTGTCAAGTGTTCTCCATTGACTCTCATCTCACAAGTCCAACAATGGTTGGTCTCTTTTAGTTAATATATAGTTCTTTTTTTATTTTCAGTAAAATTTTCGAGGCCGTTTTTTTTCTTGCTGTTAAAAGTTTTCTCAGTATTCATCACAGAAATGCTATCATCCTAGTCAGTTCGTCTACTTTGACCATGATTTGCCTTGTGTGGATCACACACAGGTCTTTACTATCGCCCTATAGTTTTTCTCAAAGATCCACGCGATTTAACCAAATTTTCTCTTATTTAGAAAAGTTTTGTTGAAACAAAGATGTTTTGATGATGTGACAATTTATCCCAAATGTAACTTGCCAGTAACTATAACAGAAAAACTATTCTGTCATTGTTCCCATACAGATGTATCAGCGCAAGGTAAACCAACAAAATTGGCCAGAATGTTGAGTAGGGGAAACCTCACTCCCACAAGTCTTCCAGCACAAGAGATAGTACAGGTAAGGTTTGTTGCATCTTTCCTTCTGGAAAGCAGAATGGTCACACCTCATCACCACACACCCAATCTAGATCTGTCATTGGTAATAGTGGTAATTTTCCCAAAAAAAAAATCCTGTCCAACCCTCAGGGTTATGATTGGGTATAAAGTGTTCGAGTTCTTAGAGTATATATATATATATTTTTAAATTTTTTTTATAATTTTGGGTGTGTGTAATTGTTTTGTTAAATCAAGTATGTAATTTGTATAATTTTTAAATTTGTTTTGTTTCCACATTTTTGGGTTGTGACAGAAATTAATTGTACTTGAAATATTTAGATAACCTCACTGAATTCATCTTCTTTTGTCCTACTGCTTATGCTGTGAAGTCTAGCAGAGAAGAGTTTGATGTAGTTTCCTGCCTTTTGCTAATTGTGTAGCTTGTGTTTAACGGTGTTTACTTACACTGTGTTGTTAAAATAGTGAATTTGTTATGCCCTTAGTATATAGTAGTTATCCTTTACCATTAGTGGTTATTACTAACATTCTTTCTTCTTCTGTTCTCTACGCCTGGAATGCCTCGTGGCATCAGAGCAGAAATAGATCTGTGGTACTGGCCCTTCTGTTTGCTTCATGGAAATTACTTTTCAGTGTTCTCTGATATTTCTGTGGTTCATCTTCTGGTCGGCTTCTGATTCTGTTGCCGCTGTATCTGTATCTCTCTCTGGTGCCCTGCCTGATGCCAGTCTTGTTACATGGCCAACCATTTGATTTTTTTTTTCTACCTATAAAGTTCAGTATTGGTTCTGAGCCGACTCTTCTCCTGATATCATCGCTCCTAAGTCGATCTTTACTCGTTACAACTATCATAGTACGTAGACATTTCATTTCTGTTGTGACTATTTTTCTTCTGTCTTTTGAAGACTGTCCATGTTTGACATTGATAGCATAGTGTTGGTAAGAATATTGTGTTAAACAGTGTTTTTTTTTTTTTTTAGTGTTTATATTCACATGCTGTTGTACACTTAATTTGTTGTACTCTTTGTTGTAGTACACTGTAATTTCAAGAACCAAGTATTTAGGCCTAGGGTGCCTATTCAAGTATTCCGCTGGATATCTCCCTGATGGATGTGCTACAGTGAAGTCCTGCATACTATAACTGGCCCATTTGGCCCAGCATCATGTAATACAGTTGCTATCTTTACAAGCCAACAATAACGCTTGTAACAGGCCACATAAACTTTAATGGCATTAAAGTTACACGTCACAAGATGATGATGATTATTCAATAAAACGTACGATAATAACTCTCTATTATCTACTCTGAGGATATAAAAGAATTACACTCTTTCTCAATGGACTCCTGCCATTATAATAAATAAAATAGACATTAAACTGTCTCCCGTAAGTACGGTTAATCAAAACCTCACAAAGAAGGAACGTCCTATTTGGACAAGGAAAATATCTTGACTGCCGAATCCTTTGTGTTCTGCAGGAGCCTTTGTGTTAATCGCCCAGCATTCAATTAGCTGGTATCCTAGGTAACGACCCGACCCGTGGCCGCTGTGTGAACTTTTCACCTGTCCTGTGACCACTAGAAGAAACTTTAACTCTTGGACAATAAGATTACAACAATGCTTGCATTTCAAAATTGGTGCCATTTCATCAAAAACTTGGTTGGCTTTATTGCATTGTCATTGGATTTCTTTATTAAATTCTCCTGTCTTCTGAAAAAATGCTGACATGTAAAATCCTACATCTTCTTTAATTGGTGTTCATCAGTTTGAAATTGGTGGTTCTTCCTTTTCTGGCGAATGTCATCACTTCTGTTTTGTCTACCTTGATCTTTATATCATAGTTGTTGCATTCTGAGTGAAGTCTGTTAATATGTTCTTGTAGCTGTACTTCAGTTGATTGCCTGATTATCGGCAAAAAACAATTCATTCAGTATTTCTTTGATGTTGTCCCCTTTCCTGGAGCTAGCTGATTTGCAAATTTGGTTGATGTAAGTGATGAACAGTAAGTAGTAAAGATAGAATGCAACCCTGTCTCACTCCAGGTCTAATGTAGAACTTGTCTGACATCCCTGTGTTTGTTCTAACTGCGCATTGACTGTTCACACATAAAATTCTTGCACAATTTAATAAGGTGTTTATTTACTCCCTAAACCTGTAGTACTTTCCATAACTTATTCCTATTAACTTGATCAAAGGCTTTCTCTTGGTCTACGAATGCTTTGTTTGAATATTACATCAGTACAACTTATTTCCTTGCGAAACCCCATTTGTCCTTTACTAAGTTGTGGTTCGATGATAGGGTATAGCTTCTTTTTTTTTTCAAGAATCTTACAAAATATTTTCTCAGTGTGGCTGTTATAAAACTCCTATACTTTTCAGTCTCTCTCGCTGCCTTTATTCTTCCAGTTGGGTACTATTGAGTTTCTCCAGTCCTCAGGTGTCTCTTGTGTTATCCAAACTAGTTTGAACAGTCTGTGCATCCATATTACGCTTCCCTCTTCTGTTGCTTGAGTAGTTCAGCAGGTATGTTATCAAGGCCTGGGGTTTTGATGGAAGGTGCCTCTTTTACAGCTTTCTTTTTATTTCTGCGAGTGTTCCGCTTGGTTTGAAATGTTTGTTTATGCATCTGTATAGACAGGAACCCAAAGATTATATGGGTATTTGTGATCAAGTAGAGCCAGGGTGGCTCTTTTACATTGCACACTTTTTTGTTGTTCTTTGTCGAATACTCCTTTCACTTCTGTCTGGATGTGTATTGGAAGAATCTGCTGATTATTTTTCTCTACTCTGCATCTTCATAGTAATTCCACTGACTGTAGAAAAGAACACACTTATACGATTTGAGTGATGAAGTGAAAGCTCTTGTTATTTTCAGAGCGATACAAATCAGCCTCGCAAAAGAAGTCGGCAACAAAAGAACCTTCCTTTACAACAAGGCAGTGAAATCGAAGCAGCACCATCACCAAGTATTGCAACAGAATCAAGCGATGTTGTACCTTATGTAGAGGAAGATGCCGCCCGGCCTAAACTTGCAGCATCTGCTCTTTCTGCACGGAAAAGCAGCCAGGAATCAGATTCCAGTCTTGAGGTATATTATTATAGTCCATTAAAAACACATGCCTTTATACTTCATAATCAGTGCTTGGGTCACTATGAGTCGTTGCATATGTCCTTAAATTATCCATGTTATTGATATTGTTTTATTTACACCTATGCAGGTTTAGTGTTTTTTTTAAACTGCATTTTTCTTCTTAAGGTTTATGCATTAATTTTTTTTTCTCCTTGTATAATATAATTCACTATTGTTGCACATTCTTTGTTTACAATGACATATACTTTAAAAAAAAAAACTTCAATGCACAACAGGAAACATTTCATGGGGCTAACTTCAGTTTAGGGTGTATCCAAATTACATGCATGCATTTTTTTGTCTGCAGATTTGCATAGCAAATTTCTACTGCTTTGCTGTTATATGATGAAAAGACTGTTTAACAGTTATTTTTTAAATATCACAATACAAAAAAAATCAGTACAAAACATATGGCATAGTGTTTTTAAAATTGCATGTTTCTTGTCAAAATTTATGCAATTTTGGTCAAATCCTTGTTGAGTAATAATGTTTCAAATCGTGTTAACTGTTTAAAATATAATATAGTAGAATTTAAATCGGTGCAGTAGTTTGAATAAAAAAAAACCTAAAGTGTGTGTTTGCATTAAATAAAGTGTTATGTTATTGTTATGTTCCATTTATGATGTGAATACAACTTTACCTATGTTAAATTTAATAGGGGAAAGGAAAAGGCCTGAAGGAAAATGAGCCGTATGAGCTGGAGATATTCAAGCTGAATTCAACTTGCAAGATTGAGAAAGACAAGATCTGTGCCTTGTGTGAGAAGAATGGAGACACTGTTGAATGCACTGGGCCCTGTGGACAGCACTTCCATCTGTCCTGTGCTGGCTTGGATTCGCAGTCAGCTGTTGAACCGTACATGTGTGCTGAGTGCACTTCCGGTAAGTAATTTTTCTAATAAGCATCTTAATTGCAAGTATTATGTTGTATAATTTATTGCCTGGCATATTTTCGCTTCATCTTGTTGTCAAATAAGTACTACAGAATTTTCATGAGAGATTAATGCAGCTGAGCGTGGTGTTGATCACATCACCCATTGACCAACGATTGGTTTCTAAAAATAAAGGTCTAATGCTATATGCCTGATGTGCTTTCACTGCTGTTTACTTACATAATGAAACATAAATATAAAGTATGTACAAGTTATAACCTGCAGTCCATTGTTTTACTGTTTGTTTGTCCACTAAGTCAGTGTTGTGGTTTGGACTTTGCTGCTTCGTAATTTTATGGTGCTGTGTTTGATACCAGCTGCAGGCCATTTGGCACCAGACCTCATTTTGTTGGTTTCAGCAATCGTATTTAAAGCTGACTGTTTCGAAAGCAGTGGCGAGCTATTGAACACAAAAGTGCCTAGTAAAACAAGCGAACAGTCATGGGGCTTGGCGGTATATTAACCTCTCAACTTAATTTACCTCCTTTATTCATACATTTCAGCTTAGCCTGCCGCCTCTAGAAGGCTAAATCTGGTCACTTCCGTATGTGACACAGAACTAAATTTAGCATTTAGAGGGGTTACCTTGGAAAGCTGATAGTTGTTTTAAGCCCAAGCTGACTTTAAGATGCATGGGTCATCCAATAATTTTTTTTAACTCCATAGTAACTTATGCTTATTTATATATATATGTGTGTATATATATATATATATAGATAGAAATAAAGATATATATATATATATAAATGTTTTTTCTGTTCCCATTGCTTAACTCCAGCTTTATAAGATTCTTTTTCATTTGCTCTGTATCCCCAATGGAACAAATACTCTTAACTAACTCATTCCAGGTCTTTGTTTTCATGCACAGGTCACGTCATGTCATCACCATCTTTTTAACGTTCACTCTCTTGTTCATTTCTCCATGTATTTTTTCGGAATATTGGTTGGTCTGCCCTCATTCTGTTGACCCTATGGGTTCTAGATTCATTGTTATGAAATTATGATGCATTGTTATCAGGCTTTCTCACCGTATATGCCATCTAAAAGTCTGCATCTTTTTCTCACCTTTTGATAATTTGAAATTTTTTTGTTTAGTAAGTAAATTGTTTGTAAAAGTAATAATGGAATTTTTTAACATACCAGTTTATTATTTCCAGGCACACACACCTGTTTTTCTTGCAAGTTAGCAGACATGGAGACTGTGAAATGTTCTGTGAATATGTGTGGGAAATATTACCATGAGGACTGCATTCGAAAATACCGACTGACCCGCATGGAGAATAAAGGATTTATCTGCCCCTTGCACACTTGTGCCACCTGTGCAGTAGACAGTGCAAAAAACCCAAAAGCTACAAAAGGTGGGTTTATTTGTGGTAAAGCATTTCCTCTTCCTACATTTAGAGTGTAAAATACATGGCTATGCACAGCTCTCCCCCAGGATTCATGTTTATGTTTATTTTAGCATACACTATAAAAGGTTTTCTTTGAGTAGACCAGTGTTTTTCCACCTTTTTGGAACAAGACTGACATCCATAAATAGATGAACAATTAGGACTTTCCGTGAGAGTTTACAACCAGTGAACGCAAAGAAGAAGTCTTCAGCTACTTATCTTCTTTCAAAAATAGTTTACAAAAGTTCTTATGATGTCACATTTATTTTCTGCATAATTATTATCATCATCAATATTTTGAATCCTTGTGAACTGCAGTTTATGTTTGTTATTTTTGTTTAGGTCGGTTCTATCGCTGTGTTCGCTGCCCAACAGCCTACCATGTGGGAGATTTTTGCATTGCTGCCGGCAGTGTGAACATGGCTGGTTCTCACATCGTATGCAGTGACCACTTCCAGCCAAACAGATCTTTAAGTTGCCATTCCCGCATTAACATTACTTGGTGTTTTAGCTGTAGTAAAGGTGAGCATTTTGTTGTTGATATCTTTCCTCGCCTTACTATTTTTCCCTCTGGGCTCTGACATAAAGGTTTGACCCCTGTAGTTTCAAGTGTCATGTGTTGGATAAAAAGATATCTGTCAGAAGTAGAAATGCTGCTGCTGTTATCGATCCTGCAGCGCTTGAGCTTTGGCCCAATGCCATGTAGTAGAATTTACATGTTTTCACAAGCTTTTCTTTTCCTCAGTATAGTGTGTTCCACTTGTATGGTCTCGGATGAGTAGCATTCTTCTAGTCTTGCTGAGTTTTTGACACTCAGAGAGATGATGGTCAAAAGTTTCATAGAGGTAGTTACATAGCTGGCACTTTGGCAAGTGTTGTGGGGTACTCTATTTAGATACTCGTTGAGTGGAATGTGTTGTGTTCTGAGTCTGAAGATGGTGGCGTGGTCCCTCATAGAAGTGTTCAGCTTTACATTATTACAATTACGAATGACGATTGAACTTTTCATCTAAAAGGCCATCGTTAGCTTGACACAAATGAACAATGTTACAAACAAGAGAACACAAAATTACTTATCTGTAAGTTGAGGTCTCTAACAGAAATATCCATAACACTGAGCAGTAGAATATCTGAGTCACGTGTGATGAAAGAAGAGAATGAGAAGTAAATAATATCTCGGATGACACTCCATTTGGACACTTCCTGCTCAGTGTCTTTATAATCTTCCTTCTTCTTTGTGTTAGCTGGCTGTAAACTCTGGCGAAAAGTTCTGGTTGCTCATCTGCCTCTCAACTTGAGTCTTTTCTAGAACCTGAGTGTTGTGTGCACATTGATATTACAGTTTTGGCTGATTTGCATGCAGACTATTGTTTCCTTGCCTCTCAAGCAGATGAACTCTGACTTTAAAGGAACCCACAGTTGGTCAACTCTTACGACATGCTTGTTGGGGAGGCAGTGGGTCTATTCTTGTTTTCTCCATGCTGGGGCCCCGGAACCCGCACAGGGAAGTCTCGTTTTAAAAGTTATATTTAGGGCAACACCTGGTACTACCCTGTTGTTCCACGCAGACCAGGGCAGGTGAGCATACTTGACCAACTCTTTTCTTGTGTAGTTAAAACCCCCCAAAATGTGACTGTTGCCACCTTATGTTGTGGTTTACAGCTAAGCTGCAATTTCTTCACCCCTTTTTGGCCTAGCACATCTGATACCAACAAACCTCTAGTTAGTTGCCTTTTATGGTGCTTGTTGGGGGGCAGGGGGGGTATGTTTATTGTTATTCCTTGGAAAGGAGGGGGTATGTTTATTCTTATTTCTTGAAAATAGAGTCTGGAACTCACACATGGACGATTCTTATTATGAAGATAAAAACAGTAGACTGCTCACTGCATTGCTGGACATATTTTGCTGTATCAGATGCATGCTTGAGAAATGAGTATGCGTTAAAATGAGGTAGAACAATGAATACTTAAATATGAAAAATACAGCATTTTTTTGTATTTCAGTGTTTGTTGCCATGGTATTTCCTACTAACACGTCTTATTTGCATATAGTGGAAGGTTTGTTGCGCATGCTTTCAACATCTGTTTTTTTCTCCACATTTTCAACCCTGGGTATTACAGCAGGCGAAACACGTTCCTCCGACCCCACTGTTTCTTTTTTTAAAGCTGTTTATAATTTTAAGAATGATCTGTCAACAGGTGGCACTTTGTTGTGTTGCGAGTCATGTCCAGCAGCTTTCCATGCTGAATGTGTCAAAGTTGACAAGACCCCTGAAGAGGCTTGGTTCTGTGTGGACTGTGCTGCAGGCAGGAAGCCTTTGTATGGAAACATTGTGTGGATCAAGGTTGGCAATTACAGGTCAGCTTTTCTTTATCAGAAATTGTTGTCTTTTGGATCCCCAGTCTCCGATAACATTATATAGCTTGTTGACTATGACGGGTCAAGGTTTATCCCACCTTTTTAGTGCTAATGCAGTAGTCATTTACTATATTTTTTTTCTCGAGCATGAGAGTGGAGGTGGAAGCAGTCACTGCAGCTTGCCGGTGGCTAGATAACAAGATACATACACGTCATAATTGCAACGGACCCTGAAATCATGCTAAAAAAGGTGAACGAAGGATTACTTCGATTAGAGTAGCAAGCTTTACTTGCAAGGTCACGCGGTTAGAGAGCATACTTTGCATCTTTTCTCTAGGTGATGCAGGCGTGTTGGGGAATAAACAGGCAGACAAATTGGCTTGATCTGCACCGCTGGGTGGTGAATTGATGCATGACAAAGCACATGATGTCAGAGCTCTTTGGGAACAAGTAACAAAGTCAGAAGAGAAACTAGATCATTATGGGCTGGAGAGATAGATGCACTTGTGTGACCAGAGAGTTCAGCCGGCACATCACGCTCAGAGAAAAGACAAGACGGACATACAACCAGACTATGACTGGCACCATTAGTATTGGAACTGGCTGGCTTCTGAGGATGGGGATGAAGCGGGTATGGGTATGCCCCGAGTGCTTTGATGTCAATTCTTAACTCAACTCAACCTAATTTCTGTAAATTTGTACTTAATGGATGTGCACACAAAATTTAAGTTCTGGAACAAGACCAAACTCCTGAAGTGGAGGAACAACCAGAACTTGCCTACATCTGCCTGAGAGGTGAGGAACTAACAGTCTGCATACATATAGGCCAGATTTGTCAAATGGATGTGCACAAAAATCTCAAATTCTGGAACAGGACTAAAGACCAGAAATAGACAAACTATCAGAACTTGTCACAGGAGTTTACATCTGTTGGACACAGGGAAGAAGAAGCAGCAGAAATTCTTTTCAAATCAGCCACAGCCAGTAAATTATCTACTGTTATCCTGAAGGGTTATACTTTAGATCTGAAGAGTTGAAATGAAAATACTTTAGGTCAGAAAAAAAACAGAGTTTACTATGGTTGAACTAAAGACGCTTTGAACGTGTAGAGCAAGCTGTTTGGTGCAAAAAAGGTTATCCTGACGAAGAACTGTACATTGCTTACAAATATTGCCAGCTGTTTTTACAAATCGTAATCTTTTTGTGCCATTATACATTATATAGGGGTTGCAATCTGTTCTTCCATTGAGTTCTATTCTGTACAATTGTTTCAATATCATGAGTGGAATCTAGTCAAGCACCTCTTGCCCTTTCCTGTCGGTGCTCATCTTCAGGTTTCTTTTAGACCTTGCCTCCTCAGTCCATTTTTAAAAAAACATTTAAGTGCCTGTTTAGTGATTCTTATTTCTCAATTTTTCAGGTTGTGCCCAATATATTGCCATTTTCCTATATTTTTTGGGTTGTCTAAATGTTCTATAGTAACATTTACCTATCTAGAACCATATACTGTGTAGACCCATAAGAAACCCCTATGTAGAAGCTGTCCCTTATTTTTTATCTTAGCTTTAAGTAATAAATATTTAAAATACATTTTGAGTATAAGACTCCCCAATTTTAAACTTCAATGTTTGGGAAAACTTTTCTTATACCTGAAAAAAATATAGTAATTGTTAATAGAGCAGCTGGTGCCATAAAGTAATGCTCAATTTGTTGATTCATAAATGTATTCCTACAGGGTGTTCCTTTTCCAAGAGGGTGACAAGGGGAGCAAGGAAGGCTCATCCAGAGGCCTGTTTAAAATATACATGAAAGGTGTCAAGGAAGCCACAGAGGCATTCAAGCTGTGGACAGCTGCAAAAGCCAAAAAAATTGAACAAGAACAAGAACGTAATGATAAGAAGCCGGCTCCATATAAATATATTAAGGTAATTAGCATTAAGAAGTTTGTTGTGCACTTTGTGTAGGTTCAAGAAAAGAGGTAATCAAAAAGAATTAGTTAAAGGACTTTTATGCTGAGCTCACATTCTTTTTCTGCTTTTGCCTGTATGGGATGTTGTGGTTTACAGCTAGGCTGCAAAATCTCTGCACCTTTCAGCCCAGCATATCTGATTTCAACAAATACTCACTTAATGTCCTTGCACAACAAGCTTGTTAGGGTGTCAGTGAGTGTCAGCAGCATCTCTTTGAAGGGTTGAAGTCTGAGTCTGAAGAAGCTCAGCGCAGTGCATAGGCTCTGTAGCACCGTCGAGAATTCTGAAATACTTTTGGTAGATTTAAAAGATTTTTTTTTTAGCCATTAGGCTACTCTGTTTTATTTTCAACTGCCAAGTAATTTTTTTACGTGCGCAACAATGCACACGGGTGTCTAATCTCACTACCCAGAGAAAAGGGAAAATTACTAGAAGTTCAAGTCCACATGAAAAAAAATCTCAGCTGCTACCTGGGATTGAACCCAAAACTTCTAGCACTTGAGGCTGACACCATGTCTCAAGACCATGCCCCCCCCCCCCCCCCAGCAGCATCTCTATATGGGTTCAGCAGTGGCATAGGAAAGGGGGAGGGGGACAGAATGACAGAAATATGTGTTTTAAAAATAAAAACAGTTGGGGGGGGGGGGGGGGGGTGCCATCTGACCTTGCTGCGCCACTAGGGTTCAGTTTTTTTAATTATTAATTTTAATGGGTTTTTTTCTTCAAATTCCAATTGCTGTAATAGTTTTCTTCTCTTTTCTGATATTATTTATTAAATTAATTTGTATAATCACACCTATGAAATTTCATTTTCATCATCCCATTATTCATTCCTCATGTAGTAAAGAGGACTGTAGTGATAGACCAAGAGGCACAGTGGATGATGTGGTTGGCATCATACTGGGTAGCATACAACAATGTCAACTGGATGACTAAATCACTTCATTCAATTATCTTACTGGTTTCTTTATCACATCTGATTACTCTTTCAATTCTTTTACTTATTTTTTTACTCCTCCACAGGCTAGTGTTCCAATCGGCAGTGTCCAAATACACAAAGCAGAACTGTCTGAAATTCCTCGCTGTGAGTGTAAACCCGATCAAGAAGATGCTTGCACCTCAGATTGTCTCAACAGAATGATGATGTATGAGTGTAACCCAAATGTTTGCCCCGCTGGAGAAAAATGTCACAACCAGCGTTTTCAGAAGCGTCAGTACCCAGAGTGTGAACCTTTCAAAAGTGAGACTCGAGGATGGGGGCTGCGGTGCTTAGAAGATGTCAAGAAGGTTTGACAATATGTTTTTTTTTTCTCCAAATGTCTGCCTATTATTGGTGATACTGTCTCCTTTGAGGGTGTAGGAATGAACCTAGGGGCCAAAGTGTTTAGATGATGTCAAGAAGGTGGAAGGGTTATTTTTTTCTTTTCACTTCTGTCTATTCTTAAACTCCTGTTTTTTTGTCCTAGGATGTACAGCAGTGTATCTTAAAGTGGGTGGTATTACCTCCCTGTAAGGTACTCAAATGCTTATGGGGGACGGAAATAACAGTAGTAACTACAAATATTATTGGGGTGCATTGAATAAAATAAGGGGATGGTTAAATCATAGCAGTTCATCTTTTTAAAACCTATTTGTAATGTTATTCATGGTTTTTATTTTAATATCAACCCTAATCAATCACCCTTTAGTTGCATTTTAGGGAGTCAGTGAGTCAATTATTTTTTTACCCTCGAACCCACACGGGGAATGACTTGAAATCATTTTGACTCCTGGAATTGCTTGTTTTATAGTATATTTGCTTGCATTTGTTTCAGGGCCAGTTTGTGCATGAGTATGTTGGGGACTTGGTAGATGAGGAAGAGTGTAAGAGAAGGATGGAGGAAGCTCATGAGAACAACATTACCAATTTTTATATGCTGACTATGGACAAGAATAGGTAAAAAGTTATCTTGTTGTTATCACTATATATCCTAATATGTTAATTCTTTTTTGGCAATTTTGGTGAAACAGGTAGCTGCACAGACACGGTTATGACATCAGTAGAATTATTGAAGAGGACAAAGAAACTGCACAGCTGTGTTTAAGAGCATCTATAGATGCCGCAGCTGGATACAGACTTCACCCAAAATGGCTTGACTTTCTTTTCTAAAAATGTAAAATTTACAAATGTAGGACATGAGAGGAATCTCTCTCATGGACTCCAACACTGTTGTTCAGGGGAAGAAGAAAACCCTACTGAAGATTCAAGCTAGACCTGCGTCTGCAAGTCAGAGTATAGAACCATAACCTCTTCAGTCCCAAACAAGGCAACACATGTACTGGATATTACTGATGTGCAAGAGTCAACATGGTTTTTTTTTATTTGTACATCTTAAGTTTAGTCAGGCAAACTAAGTTAATTTATTAGTACAAGTTACCAACAATGTGCTGTATATATTTGGACCCTGTGAATGAGTTATTGCAATGCTTTTGTTGTTATCATGATTGTTTCAGTCAGGCATTGGCCTTTATCTTCTGGGACTGGAAGAGTTAATACCTCAAACCAAGCCATTTAGACTTACTTGTTTGTGATTGTTTGGATTGTACAGCTAAGCTTTTCTATGTGTTGGTGTAGTCCGTCTCTCACCTACCTACCTACCTTAGTTGCTTCTTATGACACACCAGTAGGTTACAGTGTTATGATTGTTTGCTTCCCAGTATGGTAAAGGTCAAGTGTAGGACACTCCCCGCACCCTTGGCCCTATGGCTAGACCTTTATTTTATTGACCAATTGGTACCTGGTGGGGGATGTGGTCAGAATCATGCCAGCCGCCGTCACTTCCAAGGATTGCACCTGATACCCACTCAAGGCTGGGTCGATCTGGGAGCCAAACCCAGGATTTTCTGATCTGCAGGCAGGTGTTTAGCCATGCACCATGGCAACTTCCTTTCCAATGTGGGCTCCAGACAAATTATTGAGAAGCAGCAGATATATGATTTTATAGACCAGGATGAGAATACGCTGGAAGATGAAAAGAATAATGATGATATCTTGAAAGAAACTTATTCACATACAGAACTGATTGCCCACATCGGAACAAGATAGTATACAATCTTTGGTCATGCCATGAGAAGTTGAAAACTGGAGTGCATCATGACGGTGGGAAAGTCGAAAGGGGAAAATAGGCAGAAGGAGACCAAGAGAGAAGGTGCTGGGCAGTTTGAATTTGTGGCATGTAAGACCATCTGTGTCAGAATTGAATGAAAGTACATGAGAAAGAAGGTTGTCAGTAGATAAGACTACCATCGCCACATTGACTTTATGAAGCATGGGCCTCCGACATGAATGTTACACACACTTATATAGAGTGGCATACAGATGGTAGATTTCTTTACGAGTTGCTATGACATGTTTCACTTTTCAGGATTATTGATGCTGGCCCTAAAGGCAACTTCTCCCGGTTCATGAATCACAGCTGCTGTCCAAATTTGGAAACCCAGAAATGGATGGTCAATGGTGACATCCGAGTAGGCCTTTTTGCTTTAAGTGATATTCCCAAAGGTGTGTATAGTTTGTCACATTTTTTAAGCACCTGGTGTTTAGATACAGTATGTGTGTTTTTGAAATTTAGTTTATATAAATCAGGTAATCGGATAATCTCAATTCCAGTGTCATACCAGACAGATCACCCTATAGTTACTTTGTTTTTGTGCCCCAAAAAAAAATCACACAGTATGTCCTACCCTGTACCTTGTTTAGTTTCTTCCCAAAGCTTTACTTTAGTAAGTCTGTAATTTATGTAAATCAATAAGGTGCCTTTTTTCTGTCTCTTGCTTGTTTTAAACACTAGACTGTTGTTCATCCGCCCCCTGTATGGGTTTTGGGGCCCATTGTGTGTGTGGAGAGAGGGGATGGGGGGGGGGGGGGGTGTAAGACCGCAGCTTCCTAGCAAGCTTGTTGTAAATATCAACTTATTAGGGGTGTTTCCTTCAAAGTCGGAGGGTATCTGCCTGAGAGACGAGGAACTGACAGCCTGCCTGCAAATCTCAAGGTCTGGAACAAGACTTAACGTCCAGAAGTGGACGAACAACCAGAACTGGTGTTTACAGTCAGTAAACATGGAGAAGAAGAAGAAGCTATTCACCCCTCTCTTGATTTGTGTGACTGTCTTTCTCTTTCCTGCCTTTGAATTTTCTCTCTCTGGTATGCTTTTTTTAAAGCTTGTTATCTTTTACAGTGATTACAACAAAATAGTATTTTTTTTTTTTTTTTATTATTTGCATTTCTTTCAGCATATTTCTTATAATTTACGGTCTCTGTCTAAAACCTTTAAACTCATTGTATTTCTGTGAAATACTGCCTATTCTGAATGTACGCATTTTCAGATCCTCATTTATATTTAAAGATTGCTTCATCTTTTTTATGTGATCAATCTTGGTAGGACAGTTATGTTGGGGTTTACAGCTAGGCTGCAATATCTACACCTTTCGGTTCAACACATCCAATTTTAGCGAACCCTCAAAATGTTGCCCCTTATGACATACAGGCTATATTCTCTACCTGCTAGGGCTGTCGCCATGGACTGTGCGGGTTAGGATGTTTAAATTTGTCCCCAGCAGAAAAACGCCACCACCTTACCAGGTGTCGAACCCGGATCTCCTGCACGAGAGCTTGATTGGGCTATTTCTTAAATATTTAATAAATATAATGCGGTAACCGCTTGATTGAGCTTTTTCTTTAATATTTAATAATTCTAATGCGGTCATTTAAGTATGTCATAAACATGATTAGATCTGGGTGATCTGTCTCAAACTTGTATGATTGCAAGTCATTATTTAGTGCTCAAGGTTTTTGTATTAGTTCAAATTGGAAGCCATTTACGCAGAAGCTGTCAGGCCCATTCTCATGAATCTTTTATTTTTTTATCTGACTCTAGGATCAGAAATGACCTTCAACTACAACCTGGAATGTCTGGGTAATGAGAAGAAAGCCTGTGTATGTGGTGCAGAGAACTGCAGTGGATTTCTTGGAGTCAGACCAAAGGTACAGAAAATCTGTTAGAAATTCATCTAGTGTTGCTTCTGAAAGGAACAAGATATTTTGATACATTTCTTTATTGGGCTCTCCTGTCAACAACGGCAGGTAGACAACAGTCCACGGCCGGTTAGTCAGAGTTCTGTCCCCTGGCTTCAGTGCTATTACGGAGTGGAGAGGAGGGAACGAAACAAATGACATAATTACTGTGTGTTAGCGATAGACAGCGTGCACTGCCCTGCTATAATCATACAGTTACGGTTTGGGTTCGGTTGTGGTTGGTTACGGTTAATGTCGCCGCATCTCGTCTTCGTACAAACTCATTGTAGCAACCCACACCCTAACTTAAACCTAACCCACTCCCTACCCCTAACCCTAGGGCACTGCACGCTGTCTATCGCCGAAACACAGTAATTATGTCACTTGTTTAGTTCCCTCTAGTCCACTCCGTAATGCCTCGCAAGAAGAGGTAATTGAACGCGGTCGCTAATTTGAGTCGCAGCGCGGGTTCTGCCAGGCATGTCGACCTCACTGTGTTTTTTGATTCGTGCCGTCTCCAGTTTGTAATTGCACTGCAGCCAGGGGACAGAACTCCGACTAACTGGCCGTCGACTGTTGTCTGCCAGCCGTAGTTGACAGGAGAGCCCTTTATTGAATAGATTGTGTTAGATTTAAGCGCCTGGTGTTTAGATATAGTATGTGTTTTTGAAATGTAGTTAATATAAATCATGTAATTGGATTATCACAATTCCAGTGCCACCCCATAGTCATTCCATATCTGTATCTAGATTTGCTTTACATGCATTACAACACATTTAATTTTTTTTTTATTCAGTCTTCGTGTTTTGTGTTACGATTTTGGTTTTTGCAGCCTTTTTTCTGTTGAGCTTGCAGTTCCATCATGATAATTCTGTTTTGACTTTAAAAAAAATTTTAATAAAGGATAATGATGGACACACTTTATTTACAAGTGTTCAATATTTTGCTTAATATATTGCTTTAATGCTCAGATTGATATTTCACCCCCTGTTTTTAAATAGTTTTAGTATTATTACTGTCAAAAACAAGGGAAAGAGCAGAATATTATTTGTATAGTTCAACATATTATTTGATAATGCTTTTAAGCCTCTTTTAAATTTTTGTCTTTACTATGATACTTCTTCTTCTTAGCGTTCACCAGCTGTAAATTCTGACAAAAAGTTATGGTTTTCGTCCGCTCCAGGACTTTTTTTTTTGAGTTCCAGGAATTAAGGTTTGTGTGCACAGATTTGGCTTATGTGTATGCAGACTGTTGGTTCCTCAACTCTCAGGCAGATGCACTCTGACTGCGAAGGAAACACCCCTAATTAGTTGTCCTTTACAATATTTGTTATGGAAGCACTGGGTCTATTCCCTCCGACCAACTCTCCTATTTTTATATAAAGATTTCTTTAACATTTACATTCCTCATCTATAGACAGTAGCAGCTGCTGCAAATGAAAAGAGGGATCAGAAAAAGAAACGACGCAAGAAGAAACTAGACAAACGCAGGGAGCATGAGGATGAATGTTTCCGGTGCGGTGAGGGCGGAGAACTAGTCATGTGCGACAAAGGCAACTGTCCCAAGGTCTACCACTTGCAGTGCCTGAAATTGACCAAGCCACCTTCAGGTAAATGTGATGAGCCTCTTGGTTTGGTGATGATGTGTATGTGAGGGAATCTACTTCTTTGTTCACCATTAAAAGAGGATGAGTGTATTAAATTCAAATGCTGTATGTTAGCATATCTAGCCAGATTTCTTCAGCATGCTCAAACCAAATGTAAAATATATAATGACACAGCGTTCCTTGTTTGATACACACTGATTATAGTTCTTGATCACACACACTGTGCGTTGGTTGGGACAGAAATAGTTAATGGGGTGGTTGGCACTTTTCCTTGCTGTTTACAGATAGACTTTGATATCTGTGCAATTAGACCCAGCACCCGGTGTTATGCTGACCACATTACCCACCTAGTGCTGACTGTCTGTGAAAAATATGGGTGCTGTTCCCATATGCCCAATGCACCTAAAGGCGCGAAAAGGGATCATTACTTACTTTACTACTTTAGACCCAGCACATCCGATTTCATTTCAGCAGGTCTTCAGTTAGTCACCTTTTTACAGCATGCTATACTGGTGGGAAAAGGAATATTTATTTATTTCTTTTTTGACATAATGCTGTGACAGAATCTGCAGTATTGTAATAAACTAACATTCTGAGGGCTGTGACAGAATCTGCAGTAGTGTAATAAACTAACATACTGAGTGCTGTGACAGAATCTGCAATAGTGCAGTAAACTAACATACAAAGTACTGTAGCAGAATCTGCAGTAGTGTAATAAACTAACATACTGAGTGCTGTGACAGAATCTGCAATAGTGCAGTAAACTAACATACAAAGTACTGTAGCAGAATCTGCAGTAGTGTAATAAACTAACTTACAAAGTGCTGAAACAGAATTATAAAAAAAAAGAAAAATTATGTTTTTGTAACTTCTGAAATTTATTCACATACTTTTTTTCTCTTTGTTTAGGTAAATGGCTCTGTCCGTGGCATCACTGTGATGATTGCGGGAAGCCTGCAACTATCAAATGCTTTGAGTGTCCCAACTCTTACTGTGCTGCCCACACAGAGGGAAGTATATTTAAGGTGGATGATGCCTACATCTGCTCTGACCACACTGATCTCCTGCAGGGCACTGCAGAGTCTCTGGGCAGCTGCTGCAGCGATGCAACCAGTGGTCTGAAGTCGGAAATCGAATCCAGCACTAGCGATAACGATACAGCCAGCACCACGGACGGTATGACTGACAGGGAAAGGGAGATGGATAGAGCATCAAATGTGGCGGAGGTTGCAGACATTGACAGCAAACAGAATATTGTGGCGGCTGCTGACAAAACAAAGAGCGCAGTCAATGGAGATGTTAAAGGGAGAGTCAGGCAAAGGAGTGCCAAAGCTGCAGCTGTTAAAGTAAAGGACAAGAGAAATTCTGTCCTTCCTGATAAATTTCCATTGAAGCCCGGCCTTGATGAAAACCTGGAAGTGCCGGAATCATCCACCAGCCTTGCTACAAAATTGAATTCTTCAGGTGATGTCGTCAGTGCCTCAAATGTTGTCCCTTTGGCAGATAGCAAAGTCAGGTCATCCCAACAGGTGCCTGTGAAAAACAGACCTGAGGTAACTCCTTGCCGCACTAAAGCCAGGTACAGAGTGCGTATGTCGGCAGCAAAGTTAAACAATTCCAAAGGTAGTGCTAGCCCTGATACAAATTCTGTGTCCAATCGTCAGACTGCTGTGAACCCTGTTTCCAATGAGAGCGATGATGCTGACAGTATTTCAGATCTAGTGATAGACATACCGTAGATGCCAGTCTGTCTTGTGTATAATATTTATCGTGTAAATATAGTTGAGATTTCATAAACATGGCTTGAAGGGATTGTCTTTGAGATGACACTGGGTCATGTTCACAGAGATGCTGATGCGAACTTTTTAAAAATTAAATGTACTACATAAATCAAGCAGTAATATCATTTATACAATGTTTTAGGAAAATCTGCAGTACTACAACCTACAGAGTTATAACAGAGAAGTAATAGTCTAACATAAAAGGTTCTGTAAGAGAAAAAGCAGTCTAACACAGAGTGCTGTAATAGAATCTGTAGTAGCGTAATAAACTAATGTACAAACTGCTGTAACATAATCTGCAGTAGTGTAATAAACTAATACAAAGTGCTTTAACAGAATCTGCAGTAGCGTAATAAACTAAAGTGCAAATTGCTGTAACATAATCTGCCATAGTGTTATAAACTAACAGAATCTGATGTAGAGTAATACAATTCTATAAGAGTAGAAGTATAACATATAAAGTCCTGACAGAAAAATAGCAGTGCAACATAAAAGGTTCTGTGGGAAAAAGAAGCTTATCTGCAGCTGTGTGACAAATAAAGTTCTGTAAACGTAGTAGGTAGTGTAATAAAAATAAAGCACTGTAAAAAAAAAAAAAATTTAGCAGTGCAAAACACACAGTTCTATTTTAAAAAAAAAAAACAGCTACACACAAAGTCTCACAAAAGAAGCAGCAGTGTAACATAAGAGAACAAGTTGTGAAAGAATAAAGAAATAATGCACTAGAGCAGAAAAATAGAACTAAATATAAGCAAATTTAAGAAAGAAATTTATGGACACATATGGTGCGCCAAGAAAATCAAGTTGTTTCGTTTGTGAATGTTTCCTTACATGCATGTAAAATAAATTTATTTTTATAATTTCTTTAGTCACGGCAGGAACTGGCATATTATAGTATTATATTATATAAAACTGGCATATTCTAGTTTTGTCTTTTTCATATAATATGGCTGAAGGCCAGTTTCTTAACTGATTTAACCAAAACTGAAGTGACTTATGAATTTATCTCAAAATTGAAGTAATATATGAATGATTATCCCCAAACAGAAAAAAATTAATGAATAACAGATTTTCCCAGAAGCAAAGTAATATATGAAGCTTTCCATAAAACTGAAAGTAATATCTGTGAATACAGTTTACCATTTCATGACTTGTGCATTTACAATATGAATCTTTATGCATGTTTTTTCTTTCTAATTTCTTGTTGATTAATATCATAATATAAGTAATAGTCGCACTGAGCTCTTGAAAGGGGGGGGGGGGGGAGATAGTGTTCCCATAAGTATGTGAGTTCTTCTTTTTCATGTTTGTTCCTTGCGAGTTGAAATATATTCTTTTGACTTCAGGATCAGTTATTTCAGAACTGTTTTGTTATTTCAAATTAGGTGACTCAGTTGAAAGACTGACTGCATTTTTGGCACATGTCACCCATCAATTTAAGATTTATGACCTACTCATTCTCTGAAAATAAGAAAGGGTCTTATATTAAATTTTCAGGGAATATCTTATCTCCTCCCCACACCCCCTTCCTTACAGAAATTTACAATTCCTCATGCACAGGACTCCACATTTATTCAAATACAATTCACTAACTTCTTTTAGAACAGTTTCTCTTAACCTTCCTAATGCTGCGACCCTTAAATACACTTCCTTACGCTGTGGTCACACACACACCCCCAACCATAAAATTATTTTCGTTACTTCTTCATAACTTCAGTGAATATGTGTTTTCTGATCGTCTTAGGCAAACCCTATCAAAGAGTCGTTTAACCTCCAAAAGGGTCGCAACCCACAGGCTGAGAAACTCTGTTCTAGAACATCATCATTACTCTCTAAATCCTAAATTCTACTTAGTGAACCGCATCCGTTCATTATGAAGTGCTTACCGGTAGCGTCATCTACATGTATTCCGACTGACCATTTTCTGCAACAGGTCCTTCACTCAGGCTGCCTATCTTAACTAGGCGTTTTTGTGTGTGGGTGGTGAGGTTTATATATTAAGTACCCAGAAAATCTTGGTAGGGCTTATTTTCAGGCTAGGTCTTTTAGTTCCGGGAAACACTACTTAGTTAGATACTGCTGTAGTGTCTTTTTTTCACCCTTACATCAGATTCAGGATATGTGACCTGGGGCGAACATTTCAACTGGGGAAAGGGGGGGGGGGAGGGCTGGTTTGGGGCTTTATCACATTTGTTCTTATGTTTCTTGTCTATTCACTTTTTTGGAGCTTCCTTTCATGAGGCAGACATTGATAGCATTTTTTATGATCTTTAGTGCCTTCTTCTTCTGTTCTTTTTCCCTTTGTTAAGAATAGATCTTAGCTAACAGCCAGGCTGTTCTTTCTTTTGCTGCTTCCTTTTTAAATTTCCCATATTTAAGTCTCTCTCTTTCTCTGTAGCTTTTTCTCTCCCCCTCCCTCCCCGTGTCTTTAGACTTTCCTCTGTTTTCTCCAATACCTTTAGATGGCATTTGTTTGTTATTCATGGCTGTAGTTTTAAGATTTTAGAATTGTAGGTCCTAGGGAGGGGGAGGGGGGCATATATTAGACTCACTGTCTTTTAACAAGTATGTCCTAAAAGGTAATAAGGGGTTTGCTGAAAAAGGATGTGTTGGGCCAAAATGTGTAAACCACAACACAGAGTTTGAACCACTCTTTTTATGGGTCAGCCCAGAAGAAGAAGAAAATTATTATTATTAATAATAACAGAATAAACAGTGTTATAAAATATACTGACAACAAGTACTAATTGCCTCTGTCATCTACTTGGAAATAACTTTCAGTACTGTCCTCCCATCCTTTAAGAGTTAAAGCACAATTTGCATTCACTAAATTCCCAAATATTTATATCCTTATCACAAAAAGTATTTGTAACAGGAACTGCATTATATATATATATATATATATATATATATATATATATATATATATATATATATATATATATATATATATATATATATATATATATATATAAATTAGCACAACCTGAGGCAATAGATCTGTGTAAGATAATAAGATATATTTGTAATTTTTGTTTCAAATGTTTGACATGAAATCATTCTTCACTATATATACCTTATTATTGACATACTATTATAATCTTGCTCAGGGCTCATTTTCAGGTACAGCTTAGGGCGGATGTTGTTGGCTTTAGGTGTCAGAAGCTGCTTGCTTGTTTAGCTCATTTGTTACGAAGCAACTCTGACCATGCGTTTATTAATTTCAGTGTGACATAGAGTTAGTACTTTTCTGAATATTTGAAAACATCATTTGTTAAGCTAATCTATTCTGTCCCTACTTTTTAACTCTTTGCAGTTCCAGTAGTTGCATCAGCAGATAGATGTCCAAGAAGAAGAAAAAAAAGAGAATAATGACTCAAAAAAAAAACATGAGTGTCTTAGTTTCAGAGATGGAGCAAACACTAAAGACATATGTTAAAATATCCTGTCCTGTTTCCTTTGTATATTCAGATAAGCACAACAGATATATGAAGAGACAGAATGTAGCCACTTCTTCTTTTCTCTACTCCTGGAATTCCTCAGAGCATAAGGGGAGGAAGAGATCTCTAGAACGGGCCCTTCTATTCGCTTCACATATAGTACTTTTCAGTGTCTGATATTTCTGCGGTCTATGTTCTGCATGGTCGACCTCTGGGTATCTTACCACTGTATCTGTATAACATTGCTCTCTGTGGTGCCATGTCTGCTGCCAGTTTTGTTACATGGCCAAACCATTTGATTTGTTGTCTACCTATAAAGTTCGGTATTTGTTCTGTGCCGATTCTCCTCCTGATAGCATCGTTCCTATGTCGATCTTTCCTCGTTACACCTAGCATAGTACTTAAGCATTTCATTTCTGTCATGACTATTTTTTCTTTTGTCTTCTGAAGACAGTGTAGCTATGAATACACAATAACTGAGCACACAGGGCACATTCCTTGGGACTAAAAGAGCGAATCTTTGCTTCCTTATATTGTTGATGTGTTTCAGTCCTTATCCATGCAGGACTGCAGGAAGCACCTGGCCGATGCTGCCATTACAGATGCCCCAATTATAACTTCTCAGGTGTCTAGGATTTGCCCCGTTGGCTGGCCATCCAGTATGAGCTTGCTCCCTCTGGCCCAATGCCATGTAGGGGAATTTGCATGTTTTCACAAGCTGTTCTTTACCTCTGTACAAGGTGTTCCACCTGTCTGGTCTCGGAGGGAGTAGCATTCTTCTAGTCTAGCTGAGATTTGGGCACTCAAAGAGTGTTCAACAGTTTCGTAGGGGTAGTTGTATAGCTGGCACTCAGGGGGAGTGTTGTGGCTGTAAATGAGATTTTGTTGTCTCAGGGTGGTCAGATCTGGCTTATTAGTATGCACACTGTTGGTTCCTCGCCTCTCAGGCAGATGCATTCCAACTTTGGAGTAAAGTAAAAGTAAAGGTCTCTTTTTCACGCCTTTAGGCGTATAGGGCATACATGGCTAGGCCTATATTTTTATAGACCAATTGGCACAAGATGGGTGATGTGGTCAGCATCATGCCGGCCGCCTCTACTTCCCGGGACTGCACTCGGCACCCACTCAAGGCTGGGTGGACCTGGGAGCCAAGGTCATTTTTGAAAAAAAGTCCGGCTCCTCCAGGGAGCGAACCCACGACCTTCCGATCCGCGACGAACGTCTAGCCGCTCCGCCACAGGGACTCCCTTTGGAGGAAAAATCCGTAATTATTCATCTTTTATGACATTTAACTCTTTTCTTTCCTAAGGAACGTTGATAGGTTTCTACCTTTAAATCCACTGAACACAGAAGGTGCCAATTACAAGCTTTTCTGTACTACCCTTTGGGTCTCTGATGTTAAACCTCTGGGACAGAAAGAGTCATAGACAGTAGGTCTAATTTCTTTTCACCCCAAACCTGAACTCCAAGAGTCCACATGTGGGGAACAATAATATTGTTGTCCACTCTTGAGACCTA